TGTCCCCAGCGGCCTCCCTGCCTGTGGCGGGGGGGGCTGGACTCGATGATCTCACGAGGTCCCTTCCAGCCCCTAATGTCTATGAAATCTATGGAACCGTCTCCTGCACCCACTGGTGCGTGTGTGTGCGCTGAGCTGTGCGGTGAGTTCACTGACAGCTTGGGCCTGAATCTTTCACTTGGACCACCTATCCCTGGAAGTACTCAGGCCCTCCTTGCCCAGTGCAGATGCTCCCTAGATCAGTTGTCTCTGCCATAGATCCTAGCACAGTCCAGCCACTCTCTGAGCCAAATCCTTTTACAGCAGTACCTGGGTGAATTCAGCTATTGTGTCTTTCAGCACACAAACAAACCCGTGCACCACATCAGCATCTTTGCCAGCCCTTCTAGAGCCGATTGACTGGCTCACAATAACACTGATTTCTTTGGGGTCCCCATCTAGTACTGTTACAGTTGCTCCCTGTGAAAGCCAAGTCATCAGCAACCACCCCCTTGTCTTGGTTTGGGCGTGTACATGCCCCCAACCTGATTAAGTTCCCTTAGTGCTAGTCAGTCTCTGCAGCCATCCCCAACGACATGGAAAGTGGGCCAAGCAGGAATTCTGCAGGTTGGTGTGTTTCTACTGCTCCCCAGTCACTACTAGTGGGGTCTGACCTGTCCCACCTCATAGCTTTTCCTGTTCTCTTCTAGCAATTTCAGACTATTTTGCAAGGTGGGCTTTATGGAGCAGCAGCACAAGCCCCGCTGAAAGCCAATGGGATTTGTACTTGTCGCTTTCTTGAGCACCCTTGCAAAGAAGGACAAAATCTTGGCCTTACCAATGAGAGTTTTACCCTGTGCCCCCTGTGTTCCCCTCATCTCCTTGAAACCCTTCTCCCATGAAAAGGAGAAAACCAAGTGAAACCCCCCTGCCCTACCCCAAGGCTTTAGCATGAGATCTTAACTAGCACGGCAGTATGGTCCAGCTCTTGCAGTATGTAGACCAATACAAGTGGAAGAAATGGCATTGTATCATTACTACTAACAGATTGTATTTGTATGCATCTTTATTATTACCATGTGGCAGGAATGAAGTTAAGGTTATATAATTTATATGTACTTTAGCTTTCTTATTTCTCACCTTCGTGGTTGTGTTTATTTGTTTGTTTTGCATCTTAATGTACGCTAGAGCTGGCAAATGCCATTTAAAAATATAATATGCCAAGTATTTGTCAGGCAATGTTTGTTCAATATATTATTACAGAAGATTGTTTCCATTATTCAACTAGCCATCATGTAAACTCCATTTAAAACTTGTGATTATTCCCCTGTACTCTTCATAATCAAATGCAGTAGAAATTTGATTATACTGACTTGGAATTATTAATATACCCTGAATAATTTAGTTATCACCACTGTTCAGATCTGTGCTACTAGTATGTAGGGAGCACAAATGGTGATAGATATAGAACACTTGTAATTGCTATTGCAAATTACTAAATCGAACCTATCAGAAAAAATGGTTAGGACCTTGGCTTGTTAATTAATTTCCGAACACCACTTATATTGCCGGTAGCACAGGAATATATGACAGATAAGGAATAGGGTCTGTACAGAGGAGGTACGCCTACCGGGTGCACACTTAGGAAACATTGTGCTAAAAATGTTTTTAAAATGATGGTGGTAGCAAGAGTCGTATGATTTATCTATTGCATTTTGCGAATGCGACTTTCTGGCTTCAAGTGGCAAGGGACTCGCACAGAGATTCTGTCCCAGCAGATCTACGCGTTGGTGCTGAGTTAGACTTACTTGTTTTGCAGGTTGTAATGCAAGGTGAAGAGCGTTCTCTGCAAGTGGCTCCTTTCATTTAGAAGATGGACCGTGAGAGCCAAGGTTTGACCCCTACTGCCACAGCCGGCACAGCTGAGTCAGTGCCAGAGAGGAAGTGAGCTGCACCAGGAAACGTTCCCTGGGACTTGGAGGAAGCAGGGACCAAAGTGAGACTCTGTTAAATTCCTCTTCTTCCCCTGGGTTAATGTCTCTGTGTGCTGCCCTGACCCTGGGCTGTTAATAAAATGCTAAATATTACTAAATCACACAATGCCCAAAATCCCAATCTGTGTTTTGAGATGCAGGTGGGTTAGAAATGGATCTTAAATATCAGGAAAGGACTTGCCCACATGGGCAAGAGTTTTGTTGTTATTATCCCCTTTGATTTGTAAGCTGTCCTAGATTGCATTTATTGGCATTTGGGGTTCATGGAGAGGTAATCACCACTGTGTTTCTGCAGTATTTCATTTAATGGATGTGGTGTCCGGCTACATATCACTGATGAGCCAACAACTGATGATGAAACTACTGGGAAGCTTTCTGAAAGGCTTATTTGCCCATGAAAGGTGCCAGCTCCTTGCCGTGTCAAGAGAAGCTTTAGCAAGGACTCGCCTCTCACAAAGGGACACTTCTCTTCAACTCTCTCCTTGTTCTGGGAGGAAGAACTAGCTGCTTCCGCCTGTTCCCCAGATCAGCCTACTCCCAAGCTCTGTCTGGTTAACTCCTGTGACACTTGGCAGGGAGAGCAGGGATATAGCAGCCATAGCCCTTCTTGCTACGTTCCCTTCTCTGCCTCCATCCCTCCCGCTTCTTCAAAGAGTGGAATATTGCACGACTGGTCTTCACTCTCCTGGCCTGAAGCCACAGCCAGCATTTCTGCCCCCGTCTTTCCTCTCATGACTGAGTAAGAGCTGGGGACATTCCAGCCCCTGGTAGTTGCCAATCAAGACACATCAGAAATATTCTGTCGTTGCCATGAGTAAAACTGAATCACGGTGGTGTCACTCTCAGGGCCCAGGCATGCTTGTGCCTGCCGCAGAAAGCCTTCCCTTTTGCACGATGCTCCCTTAGACTTCCAAGGCCTTTTCACGCTGTTCAGATGTGCTCATTAATTGCTTGCTACTGGGGAGGACGGAAGATCACAAAGCCCAAGTTAATTCCGCTTTCAAACATGGATAAGAGCATCCAGTGTTGTGGGGATGGCATACGAGCAGTCTCCCGATCTCCCTATAGCATGCTTGCCTGCCAAACGAGAGAATCAATCAGCATGTTGCCACCAGTATTGATATAGTATGACAGAGCTTGACTAGAAAAATGAAGAGGAAATTAAGTTTAACACAGCGATAATGTAATGATCAATGCTGCATGCTACAGTTTAAAAACGCCCTTTGTATGCACTTGAAAGGAAGACATTTAATCAGTGCTGAGTGCAGGTATTGACATATATA